GATATTCAGGGCAGAGGGAACACCCTGTGTGGAAGCCCAGAGGCAAGTTAGCATGCAGGAGAGTGGCTAGTACCTAGAGTGGAAGAGACGAGAAGGGTCTTAGACCATTCGCCATGAACTGAGGACAGCCTTCACTCTCCTTCCCTCCATGCCTTCCTTGGTTCTTGTTGCTTTCTCCGCTTCAGCTAACATCCTCTGCATCCTTAAGGCTTAGCTCAAATGCCACCTCCTTTGCCCATATTGAAGTAGAATCCCTCTATCTCATGATGCGTCCACACTTTGGATGTAGTCCATGTCTGAGCACCTGGCTCCTTCTCCTGTACTGGATCGCAGGGTTTGTTCCTCCTTCACCTTTGTCTCCCCAGCACCTGACACAGTGCTTTAGTCCATGTCAGTACATGTGTGCTGAAGACAGCCACACAGATGCTTAGAACCGAAACCTTAGTACACGAGGCAAGTGCTAGTAAAGGCACCAAGAGCATCAACCTGAATTAGGAAAGCATCTTTCCTGAGGTACACCATCGCAGAGCCTGGTGCTGAGCTCCCTGTGCAGGCCAGGCAGTTTCAGAGAACCCACAAGCAGGACAACCAGAAACCATGTTTTAAATAAAGAATTTGATGTTTGAAATTTCAAAATGCCATGACGTGGTCATCACAGGAAAAATCAGAACTGTGTTGGGCTTCCTCTTATTTTACAGTTTACAATTGTTCTTATTCTGAATCACATATTGCCGGGCCTGGAGGGCGGGATTCATAATCTTTTCATTGCTTCAGCCTCTAAAGAGCTTCAAACTGCCCGTCTGAGACCTCCCTCCAGTATATGAAAACTCTCACCTCAGAAAAAAAGAAAAAAAAAAACGGGGTCTATTCTTTCTCAGTTCTGCCAATTTAAGGCATGATTTCAGAGAAATCTCTAAGCCATTGTGTGCCTTGCTTCCTGCAATAGGAAGGTTGAAAGAATAAACCATTTAGCACCTCATGACTGGTGAGAAATAGCTGGCGGTTAATGAATCAATGCAAAGGATTTTTCAGAAACTGTTTTCATTACTAATGCCCCATTTTCAACTGGTGAGAGCGGCCCAGAGGTTGGTAGAGGAAGGCATTTCAACACCCTAGGGCAGAGAAGCCAACTGATGGGCCCTTCTACAGTGGAGATACCTGTGGAGGGAGTCTTACCACCCTACAGAGGCCCTCCAACTTCCCCAGGGTTTCCCTGCAGGTTCTGAAGCAGCTCCAGCCCCTTTGTAGAGATGCATTTATTTCAAATTATTCAATTCCCTCTGAGCACTCAGTTGTTACAAATAATCTATTTACCCTCATCGGCTTTTTTAGAATTATCACAGAATGAATTTCTTTTCATTTTTAAAACAGTTTCTCTTATTTTAAACAAATATTGAGCACCTTTATAGATTTCTTTTCTCTAAACGGATGCTAGTGTGATTATACTCTGTGACTGGAGATATAATTTGTTTCTGTGACTTCAGAAGCAAGGTTAGTCACTCCAAAGAAGACCCACCAAGTTTAGAAGTCCATTTAAAAATGTCTCTATGTTGCATTGCAAACCCATTTATTTAACAATCGTTTATTAGGTGATCAACTAAGAGCCCTGGGGATGGTGAAGGTGATAAATAATTATCAAATATGGTCCCTGTCCTCCAAGAGCTGATTGCATGGTCATTACCTCACTAGGGGTCTAACTATAATCACACTATTTTGCTCACCATTTCCCGCTTTTGTTTTACTTAATTCAAAATTCAAGACTTACAGGCAGTCCTGAAACGGGTACGTGTTTTCTGATGTTCCTGCAACATATCCTTTGGCAACGTTTGGACAGCACAAGGTTTGGAGCTGGGAAGAGCAGTTCTGTCCCTCTCCACGGGGAGACCCACAGCAAATGGAATCAAAAGGAGCAGCTGTGACTGTCACGCCCTTCAGCCTTTGGGGAGCTACCCACCCACTTTTGTGGCTTCTTTTGACCTTTAGATTTGTCCAGTAAACTACAGCATCTAAGCTCTTTCGTATTCATTATTTCATTTGATGCTTGTTAACAACCCAATAAGGCATTCAGATTAGGTGTGTTAACCCCACATTACCGATGAAACAACTGAGGCCCAGAAATGTTAAGTCACTCAGCCAGGAGTCACCGGCAGTAAGTGGGAGCAGAGCCTAGGACTCCGCATGTTGGGAGCTCACTAGTATTGTTTGCGCCACTCTGGCCTCTCTGATAAATCTGGTGCGTCCAATCTTTCACAGTGGCCAATGTCCACAGAGATGACTTAATCATTTCCAGGAACGTCCCTTTGCTTTTTTTCCATGATATAAGCAAAAAGCTCTAAGTTTACAAGGCATTTTCCAAAAACAACTTTTAACTTCTTGACTGTGCTTTCAACTTTATCTATGATCTGTTTCTATACTGGACATGTAGTTTCTGGATTTGTACAAGCAGATGAGGGAAGCCACCTGCTTCATGGTAGATATCTCAAAGCTGAAGAGGAAGGAAAGGTTTTAAAGGGCACTATTTACATAAAAAAACGGGGCGGGGGGTGTGCTGTCTGTGACACCATTTTTCTCAAAGGTCAAACCCTGCTTGATTTGTTAAGTGAAAGCCTGAACTCAAATTCCATCCACTAAAGAGTTTTTCCCAGTGCAAGAGCAAGTGGTTTCCATGAATATAAGATAGGCAAGGACCTTCAGACATGAAAGGATGAGAGCTAAAAGTAAAGAAGCAATGGATAAACTTGAAAATGTTGCAGTTTTCCCAGTTAAACAATGAATGAAACAAATGGACTGCTCTAGCCCTATTCTTCCATGTTCCTTTTAAGCTGAGAGGGCAATTTAAACTGTAACATGCCAAAGCCAACTGGAGACAGCTCCCTATTCTAACTGCTCATTTATTGGAAAGACACAGTCTCCATAAATATGGTTGCCTGGGAAAGGGATGCATGAAATAATCATTGCTATGAAAAAATCTACCTAGTACCCCCATCAGTGGTGTCTAGCCCCACTGATATCACCAAATCAGCAAGGGAAATTAAACCTATTTTACTCACAGGTGTACATTTTTGTGCCATTATATGTAGCTGGGTAAAAATGATGGTCAACAGAGCCCCATATACAACCAAAATGGAAAGAAAAGCAGTGCTGTTTTAGCATTACTACGAGGAAATGAAAATGTAAGGAAAAAATTTTCATTAGCACAGTTCCCTGGTGACTAGGTATTAAAACATATTTGAACATAAAGTTACCCCACTGTTTGGGGAGTTCCACAACATAAAAGGTGTGAGTTATAGCTGAATTTCCTACTGGCTTTTTGCTTCTCGTTTTCTACCCCTTGAAAGTTCATGAAGACAAATCTAGAAATATTTGAAAACTGTCACATTTGGAAATTATTTAATGTCTTACCATCTTACATACACTTTCCTTGGGGTGAACTGCCTCCCCTGCCCTTCATTACCAAGGCTATTTGTTTAATCACAGAATCTTTGCTTCACAAGATATTTGCTGCTTCTATTTCCTCCCCACCTGAAGTCACAATCTTTTGTCACAGGACAATCATTTCCACAGTGACAAACTGTGATGTCACAATTGAGGGGAGGAGGGCAGTTTACAAAGGAAAAAAGAGAATGTAATCTTCAAGCTAAGGTTTCTGAGTTTTAAAACTGTCACTGTAGTAATCAAAACATTTTAGCACGAAAACTCCATGATAAAGTTGCATTGCTTCAAGGTCTCAGCTGTGACACACAGAGCATTTCAGCAGAAGTTTAACAGTTGCATGTTGTGGGTTTGGGATTGGGTAGAGATTTTTATTTCATTTCATTCTAATTCTGTGCCACTGATATCTGCCAGGAAAATACATTAAACATTCCAGAAAGAGTTGATTTAGTAGATGAACAATGTATCTCCTGAGACCTGAGAAGGTACATTTTCTGTCTTACTATCAGCTTCCATAATAGGAACAATGTTTACATTTCCTTAGCCCGTGTAGTGCCTCTAATGTATTCATGTTCTTTCACTCTCCAGAGGCAGGAATTGAAGTCTTTGAGATTTTATTTTTTTTAGCTACTGCATCAAGCACTTACGATCTGACAAATGTGATGTGTATTCTCACTTGGTATTAAAAAATAAGCGCTTCAGTGTTTGCATTTGATTAGTCTCTCAGCTTGGTGGCTGATTAAGCAGGAATAGGAACAGCAACTTTCTTTGGCAACACCGCATCTTGGTTAATGTAGTGTAAGATTATTGACAGGTGTAGTCATATAATTTTTATTAAATTGAAGAGATTAGCTCTGCTGAAGAATCTCACTGTGACGGCAAACTCTAGTCGTAATAATGAGACCTGACACTTCTCAAACCCACTTCAGGGCCCCAAATGGTCCTCTTTTCTAAATATTCTTTCAGTATAAGTAAGGGAAGGGCTTCCTTCAAATATTCATCATATTTACCTGAAATTGGGTGTGCGTGGTTTGGTTTGGTTTTTGGAGGGGTGATGCAAAATCAGCATAAGCTTTTCTAATCTGAGCTTTAGCTCTTTTCTTTTAATGACACACAGTCTTTCCTCCAATTGCCCCTGGAAGGCTGAAGTATTATGCAATTTGTTCATTTAACGTGCATAAAATGAACTCCCCTGACTCAAAAGTATCTTGGTTATCCCAATTTTATAAGGTGAAGATTGAAAAAAGATGGCGAGGGAAAGAGAGATAAATTTTGGAAATGCAAAACTGCCATATTCCATGCATGGAGTGAAGCTAAGTAGAAAGAGCAAGTACTTGAAAGGGAGAAGCACTTTTTCAAAACACAAAGAAGGCAACAAAGTCTATTTACATACTTTGGCGGGGAGGGGGGAGGATTAATTAGTTTGGCAAGCTGAGCCTTGATGACAAGTTACGCAGAGGTGCTATTGTCACTTATTACTGTTATTAATTAACAGGGTGAACGCCATACAAAAATAAGCCTCGCGGCGTCCTTTCATTTCTTAACACCATATGCGATGTCTATTGCAGGAGTGATTCGCGAAAGTTACCTCAAAGGCCATGACCAGCTCGTTCCTGTCACCCTCTTGGCCATCGCGGTCATTCTGGCGTTTGTCATGGGGGCCGTCTTCTCCGGCATCATCGTGTATTGCGTCTGCGATCACCGGCGGAAAGACGTGTCCGCGGTGCAGCGCAAGGAGAAGGAGCTCACCCACTCGCGCCGAGGATCCATGAGCAGTGTCACCAAGCTCAGCGGCCTCTTTGGTGACACCCAGTCCAAAGACCCGAAGCCAGAGGCCATCCTCACACCGCTCATGCACAACGGCAAGCTCACCACTCCCAGCAACACAGCCAAGATGCTCATTAAGGCCGACCAGCACCACCTGGACCTGGCGGCCCTGCCCACCCCAGAATCCACGCCAACGCTGCAGCAGAAGCGGAAGCCCAGCCGCGGCAGCCGCGAGTGGGAAAGGAACCAGAACCTCATCAATGCCTGCACAAAGGACATGCCCCCCATGGGCTCCGCTGTGATTCCCACGGACCTGCCCCTCCGGGCCTCCCCCAGCCACATCCCCAGCGTGGTGGTCCTGCCCATCACGCAGCAGGGCTACCAGCATGAGTACGTGGACCAGCCCAAAATGAGCGAGGTGGCCCAGATGGCGCTGGAGGACCAGGCGGCCACCCTGGAGTATAAGACCATCAAGGAACATCTCAGCAAGAGTCCCAACCATGGGGTGAACATGGTGGAGAACCTGGACAGCCTGCCCCCCAAAGTCCCCCAGCGGGAGGCCTCCCTGGGCCCCCCGGGCGCCTCCCTGTCTCAGAGCGGCCTCAGCAAGCGGCTGGAAATGCACCATTCCTCCTCCTACGGCCTTGACTATAAGAGGAGCTACCCCACGAACTCGCTCACGAGAAGCCACCAGGCCACCACCCTCAAAAGAAACAATACTAACTCCTCCAATTCCTCCCACCTCTCCAGAAACCAGAGCTTTGGCCGGGGAGACAACCCGCCTCCCGCCCCGCAGCGGGTGGACTCCATCCAGGTGCACAGCGCCCAGCCGGCGGGCCAGGCCGGAACTGTTTCGAGGCAGCCCAGCCTCAATGCCTACAACTCACTGACCCGGTCGGGGCTGAAGCGCACGCCCTCGCTAAAGCCGGACGTACCCCCCAAACCCACCTTCGCCCCCCTTTCCACATCCATGAAGCCCAATGATGCGTGTACATAATCCCAGGGGGCGGGGTCAGGTGTCGAACCAGCAGGAAAGGCGAGGCGCCCGCTCCGCTCCGCTCCGCGCGGTTCCCAGCCACCTGGGGACCCACCAGACCACGACGGCCACCGCAGAGCTGAGGACGCCGCGTCCTCGCCCGGGACTCGGGGGTCCTCTCGAAAAGTGGGCCACATGGTTTGGTGAAGGTTTGCGACGCGGGACTCACCTCCATTCTCTTCCTTCACTCTTCCCCCCCCCTTCCCCACACCCTGCAACAGGTCGGACTCACAAAAGACTTAAATTATCACAAATATGAGCCAAAAGCACATAGCCACTCACCCCCCCCCACCACAAATGCGCGCATGCGCGCGCGGACGCACACGCGCACACACACACACACACGCGCGTACAGAGGTGAACAGCAACTACAGCTTTTTGTCCATTACTGCACGGGGCTCTGCCAAACCGGGCTAGTGTTCCACCTTGCAAAACACAAATACATTTTTTTTAAATCATGAAAGTTAAAAAGACAAAAAAAATAAAAATAAAGAATCCATTGATAATTCTAACTCAGACTTTAACAATGGCAGAAGTTTACTATGCGCAGATACTGTGAAATGCCCACCAGTGTTACAGCTTTCTGTTATAGCAGATTAATGCCATGTTGGGCAACTATGTCATAGATTTCTGCTCCTCTCTTTTAATGAAATAACGTGACCGTTAACGCAAGTAACTTTATTTATTGTTCACCCTTTTTTTCCTTAAGGAAAGGACTCTTCCACATACTGCCCTATGAACAGCTCTTCAGAAAGCCCCTTGAAGTTAAACTATTTAACGTGAAATCCATTAACTGGAATAATTAAGTTTCTTTATTTTTACAATAAACTCACTGAGTAAATAAGTTGGAGCTGGAATTCTGAGCTTTGTGTTTGGACTGTCTGGTCTCAATCTAAAAAGAAAAAGTTAAGAGGGGAATATTTATTTAAATCTACCAGTTAATTTGCTGGTGAGGTCTCTGTTCCTATAACATGCAAAAAATTAGTTTAGAAGTCCTTCCAGATCCTAACTTGTAAAGCAACCAGGAGAGGAACTTTTAGAATGGCACATCCATGTCCCATTGCTGCCAACATGGCTTTGTCAGTGGTTCCTCCTTTCTGTGAAGACACCAGCTTGTGATACGCCATCTCATTTCACCTTGCATGTGAGACAGCAAACAAAATCCACAAACGGTGTGAACTAATTAATACGCTGGCTGCTATCTTGCATAAATTAATGGTTTGATCACACGGGTTTTTCGTGGGGTTACATCTGTGAATAGCCTATTTTCCACGTGTAAATTTGTGCCTTACACCCTGAGTTGTGTACACTTGTAAACTGTCGTTATGATAAACCTTTTTCCCCTTTTGAGATACAGATATTTATTTAACCCTCCCTCCCCCCACCCTCACTCCAGCCCTCTGGAAAATTAGCATCCAGCAGATGGAAGCAGAATGCAGTGGTGATGCTTATAATCTCGAAGCCTGGGCAAGGTGGGCGCACAACACCCTCCAATTCACACTTTCTTCTAGTTGTGCCAACTCCAACCACCCTTTGGCCATGCTGCCAAGCATGGACCCCAGTGTTGTGGGTGGCAAATCCCCTTCCTTTCTCCCTTCAGAGCTCCCTGTTTCCCTTGGATTCTCAGATCATTTCAACATGGGGATATCTTCATTAACCAATAGAGAAAGGACTAAAAAGTCTCAGTCCTCATTTCTGCCATGTCCACTGGCTGGAGAATACTGTGTGCAGTTGGGCAGGCACCTGGGAGGAGTATCCGAGCAGTGTGCTCAGTGCACAGGAGCAATGCACACAAAGAAATGACATGGAAATAGATGCAGGCAGGCTGGTCCCTGCTGTGATTAATGAGTAACTCTTAAGTACAAGGCCAATCACAATGGATGCTGCAAAAACCTTGACTGGGGCAAAAGATTTTTAATTTTTTTTTTATTTCTTTATCCTTTTGTTGTTATGCTTTGTAGGGGGTTGGGGTGTGTTTTTCCCCTTGGTTTTCATTAGCTCAAGCACAGAGAAGGGACGTTTGTTTACTCTATCACGAACAAAGGAATTGTCAACGTACTGTAAACCGTGAGCATTTCGTTATTGTTTTTAAATGGTTAAACATTTGGTGGTCTCTTTGTCTCTTTATTTCCAGTTTGATCTGGGTTTAGTTTTGTCTTTTAAAATACTTTCAGAAAAACACTTTTGAGTTGGTCGGTGAAAAAGCAGTGCTTCCATCCATAATCAGAGTGAGACTTGGGTGTATAGCAAGGTCGCGTGCACAGTCTTTTGTTCCAAACGTCCCTTGATGTTTTGCTGTTGTTTGGGGTAGGTTTTTGTTTTTTTGTTGTTTTTGTGTTATGGTTTTGTTTGGTTTTGTTAGTGGAATCAACATTTGCATCCTGTGAACCCTACCCTGAAACCATGAAATCTTTCTAGAAATTGAGGTATTGTTTTTTTCCCTTGAACTTTCTTTAAAATGCAGGACTTAAGAAGGTGATGGGTATATATCGCCCTGCTATCTTCTCCCCAAAACCTGAGTCACAAGAGTATTGACAATGCAGCCCCTACTCTCATCCCCATGTGGGCATCATTGCCTCAGCTGTGTTACAGAGACCTGTGTCAAAATTCCATCCCACAGCCCTACATCCCATAACCCATCACTTGTGGTGTTAACCCTAAAATTCCCACATGTGTTGAGCTGGTCTTCTGCATTTAAGTATTTTTTCACCTTTTCTTTATTTCTCCACTGTGTGTGGGGGGAGGGTCCATAAACCTGAGTGTGCCTTTGCTTTCCACCCTTGCTAGACACTGGTAGATGCAACAAACTCAGATTTATATTTGTTGTAAAGTTGTAAAAATATTGTGATGTCACCAATTTTCCTTCCATCTCCACACCCCCTAACATCTGATTCACAACTTAATGTATGTTGTAAAAAAGAAAAGACAAAAGGGAAAAAGACAAAAAAAAAAAAAGCAAGGAAAAGGCTCTTTATTACTTAAAAGTAATAAAACAAGACTGTTCATTATCTTTTGTGTCCTGGATGATTTTATTTATCTCTTAATTTTCCCCTGCTTAACCCTCACCCTTTTGGGGTAGGATTCTATTTACTCTATCTCTATTTGGCTTCCAAAGCACAAATAACAATGAAGTTAGATCTGTTTGTTGGCAATACCCACACCCTGCCCACCCCCCCTCCAAATTATTGATGTGTTTTCTCTGCCTGTACCCAGCCTGGCTGGAGCAGAATTGCACAGAAGCCATCGGTAATTAAAAGGCAGAGCACGCATTGACTCCCTCTATTCATTTTATGCATTTTCTTTTTATGGGCTTGTTCATCATCAAACATTTATGGTAGGCTTGATAGTTTAAGAGATCAAGGCTAGGATTTTAGTATGTAGGGTCCACTAAAAATAGATCCTTGCACAGATGTGGCTTCAGCCTTTTTACATATTAATAAGGTGGAAGATGCTGGATTTCATTCCTTGTTAGCATTTAGCTCTTGTAACCCAGAAGATACTGTTGGAGGTAAATTGGGATGCAGCACTTGATTTTTATTTTGAAGAATGGAATTATGAAATGCCTAGATCAGGTTTTCCCCTCTGGGATATTTTTAGAACAGTTATTTAAATAAGTCCTCAACTGTAATAGTTTACTTTTGACCTTCTGAAATAATTTTTTTTAAGTGCTTTAAGTCAGTTGGAGTGTGGAAAGCTTCGGGTTTGGCCTCGGTTAACACCTATAGTAATCCAGTCACCTTTGATAAGTCATTTCCAATTGTGTTTCTTGAATCCCACCCATGGGGCCAGGCACTATCCAGCACAAAGTTGACTAGAATATAGTTTCTACTTCCTCTTGTATGAGGAGAAATGGACACGCCTCTGTAATTGCCATTAGGAGGAAGGAACAATGCTGAGGAAGAGGCTCAGAGGTTTGGGGCGCGAAGCTACATGTGAGCTGGTCCTTACAGAATGAGTTCTCTGGACAGCTAGCCCAGGCAGAAGGGGTAACATGCAAAAGTGCCAAGGGTGCTGTGTTTGGGAAACAAAAGGTCTGTGAGAGCCTGGTGGGAGCAAGGCTGGAAAACGGAGTTGGGGCCAGGCTAGAAGGGGCCTGGTTACTCGGTGCTAGCATTTTCGCTGATGGACAGCAGAGCACCTTTGAAATGTGTGAAGCAGCAATCACACGTGTTGGTGCGTTAGCAAGGTACCTGGCAGTAATGTGGAAAATGGATTGGTCCGGGGGGAGGCTGCGGGCCGCTGGGCAAGGTGCCAAATGGCGTGCCAGGTTGGCAGGAGCAGCACACGTGAAAACACCACATCCAATTTCATATGTTTTAAGAAACAGAACTGGATCAGCTCTGTGATCATCCCCTCACCAGACAGAAGAGCTGCTTCTGCTGCGACTGATGGGTCTGACCCTTTCATTTTAAAAAATGAGGAAGCTGAAGTCCATTGGCTGTAAGGATGTGCCCATAACCCCAAAGCTGGTGGTAGAGCAGCTCTTCTGAAAAATTCATTGTCTCTTACACTCCCCTCCACCCTCCACCCGCTCCATTCATTCACCTCATTAGAGCTTTACTAGCTAGGAAGACCTGACATCCCCATGGCCCAGAATCCATCTCCATCTCACTCAGTTCTTTCCCACAGGAAGCCTTCATGAGTGCCTCACCCCCAGCTGGGCATCCCAAATTCCTTCATCTGGACCGAGGGAAAGGGATGGGCTGGAGCTCCGATCACACTGATTTGAAGCAGACTGTCCCTGCATGCAACCTGACACTTGGTAGGGTGGCTTTTGCTGCAGTCAGCTTTGTTCTAGTCTGGTGGAGAGGTGACAGGCTGAACAGGTGCAGCCTATATTTTAGCTAGGGACCCATGGATGTCCCTGCTCAGGCTCCAGAAGTGCCTCAGACGACCCAGCTTTTTAACTGTTGTATCTGCTTGCTTGCTCACTTGTTACAGGGGGTGGCAGTTTCTATGGGGTGTTTTTATTTTATTTTATTTCATTTTTAGATGAGCCATCCTGCCACCTGTTGGCAGCTCAGTGGCAGCTCAGCTCAGGCCAGGAATAGAACCAGCGATCCTGTTGCTCAGAGCTCGCACTCTTGAGCGAGCTCTTAACCAAATAAGCCAGTTGGCCGGCCCTTCTACGGGGTGTTTTTAAACTGTTGGGCTTAAGGACTGTCTGGCCCAATACAGCCAGCAAGCCAGGTGTTTCATGGGCCAGAACGGGCGTCTTGGACCTGTCTGCTTTCCTTAAATGCTTTGTCATAAACACAAACTGGTCTCATTGTTCAGCCTTGTTAGTTGGCAGAAACCAGACAAGATGCCCCAGAAGCATGGGGCCTAGGTTTGACTGCCTGAACAAAAGCCCTTTCAAAAAAAGTCATTCAGCAAGTGAAGTAAGTGTCAGAAAGGCACCTACGATTTCAGACACTGGTACGTTTTTGCTTGAGGGAAAGGGGGGAGGGGATTTAAAAGCACCCCTTAGTAACAGAATAACATGATTAAGAGCATAATCCTTCTCCTGGCTGAGCACTGTGACAGCTGGGTGCTTGGACTCAGTAAACCTTAGAAACCCACATCTCAGGCTTATCTTCAAACCAGGTGGTGACGTGTCTCTTATACAGAATTGTAAAGGAAGGGCTCACATTTATTGATCGGACTGCCAGACAGATGGGGATCTTCAGTATTCCATTTAGGGGATTGTGTATCCTTAGCTCTAACCCCCTGGGATGCCAGGAGGTGGAGGGCGGTTGACCTCAACAGTGGGTTAGGGCTGAACTGATGTGCATTAAAGGTTGGCTGGGCAGAAAAATGTGCAGATGTCCCTCTAGCAAATGAAAATGAAATTGGAGCAAATCAAGAGAGGCAGCTGAGGAGCGGGGCATTCTCCACCCCCCTCTGCAAACACATCCACACACACATGTGCACACACATGCTACCAGGAGGCTTTTTTCCTTTTGGCACCTAATGCCAAAGATGTCACACAGTTCAGAACCCATGTTTACAGAAGGTAGACTCTTTGGGAGGGTTTTCACCTCTTTTCCGTTAAAACATAGGCTCCATTTCAGTACTTTCTGGTCAGATGTGAACTGTCAGAAACCAGCCTTAGAAATGGGAACAAAGACCTTTGCAAAGCAGCCTGGACACAGGGCCCTGATAGCCACTGACGCTAACTGACGTGGCTAGCAACTTTTTTATTCTCCCTAATCACCTTCAGGCAGAAGGCTCCCTTAAGGATCAGTCAAGCCATCGGTCCTGCTAACAGGCTGCAATAGCGGTCCAAATACAGCAGTGTTAATGAAGAGGAAAGGTAGGCAATCAGGAAATCAGAAGCATTTTTCATTGATGATTTTCAGAAAGAAAAAAGAAAAAAAACAGATTAAGGTGACATTGCACATACCAAATGCCAGGAAACCAACATAAGACACTCAGGCAGGATTTCCAGAGGTTTCCTAGGATTGGGAAGGTAATGAAAAACCTGAGAGCCAAAAACTTGCTTTTTTTCCCCCTGTTCTTTATGACAATTGCCCTTACATGTTATGGGGTGGTAAGAAAGTGAGCCGATCTCGGCAAACTTAGTATCAGTTCTCCGGTGTAGATGCTAAACATTTTGCACGTCTAGTCCATGTCAGGGGAATGAAAAGTGGAATGGTACCACTCACTTAAGAGGGGCAGGACTTCCACTTGTCAATAACAATGACAATTAACATCGGTGACATTTGACAGTTTGTAGACATAATCTTGTCCATAATTTTGGTAGAGCCTCATAACAGCCAGTGCGGTGGGCAGCACGTAGATAATTCTCTTCATTTTATAGAAACTGGAGTTTGGAGAGGAGGGGTCTATTGGAGCACTTATCAACATAAAAATATAACAATATTTCAAAAACCCATGTGTTGACATCATCCCCTCAGCTCTCTCAGGGATACCTCGGGTTACACAATTACTCCACTTCACCAAATGGGAAAAGCCTCCCTCCCACAGCATTTCCCAGGAGAGACGGCTACAACAATAAAGTCCCCAAAATAAAGGCTAGGCACACACATTCTATTTTAAGGGCATTGTGCTCTAATATTTTTCCATCATTAAAAAACACATCTCTTCCTTCCTGCGTCTGCAAAGTCCTGAGGCCAGCAGTGTTATCAGGAACTATCAACAAAGCAGGAACAGAAAAGAGCTGAGGCCAAACTCACTGACCTCCCTTCTCGAGGTGCACCCTGCCACGTCAGGGGCAGTGACCCCAACCGCCTCAGGGGAAGAAAAAGGATGAAACACCCGGCTTTTATAGCTTCTTTATCCCACTCAAGCCGCACAGATCACAAGAGAAACTGAAGAAGCCAAAAGAACCCAGGATTAATTGGGAACACAGAAGAAGAAATGCCGTATACCTAGAAGGATGAAGAATTTGCTCACCTTTCCCCTCATAGAAGGTGGAGGTAAAGTAAATGTGAAAGGAAGCGGTAAGAAATATCACCGCTGCCTTTTCATGTTAGCCCCATTTGCCACTTTGTCCCTGTGGGTACCAACTAAACAATTTGACTTCATCCCTCATGTCAAGGGTGGGATGATTTGGTTGAGTGTCTAGAAAAATCTCCAAAGAGGAGACAAGCGGTAGAGATCTACATGGGTAGCTATCTTCCTCTTCCACATCACTGCCCATGTTCCATGTTGCAACTTCCTCAGACTGGCCCTCCTGAGGTTAAGGTACTTGGTGTGAGAGCAGGGTGGTGAAGAAGAGGCATGACTACCTTCTCTGGATGGACTCCTGGCCTCTCTTCTGCGGTGGGGGCAGTGTGGCCCAGCCAATCACCATGCAGAGCTCACAGCACTCTGGGGAAGCCAGGATCTTTTTCTTGCTGCCTTGACATCTAACCTCAGATAGATTTCACTCAGAAGGAGAGAAAAATAGCTGTGGTTTGTAGAACCCCACTGTTCTCTTGATGTTTGGTTGGTTGCTGTTATTTTTGTTTGTTTGCTTATTTGTTTGCCTATTGAAGCCCTGTTCCCAGCCCACAAAGCTTTTC